CCTTCCAAGTTACAACTTTTTATCCTTTAAATGAGTGAGAAATTTTTCTAACTGAATACATTGAATAGAGTCAATTCTATCATATTCCCATGACGCACAATTCTTTACAGCCTTAAACTGTGAGCTCAACTTCAAGCTAACTCCATGAACACGAGTTTAGAAGCATAGAAATCAGCACGGTAATTCATTAGTGTGATTAATCATTGTGTGCAAAGATAGACAATATGTGCATATTGGCAATCATATCATAACTCCTTATTTTCATATAACTTGTACAAGAAATGACCGAATGGAATGCTTAAAACGGATACTTTTAGGCTGGTAAGTGTCGAGTGCTCAGGTGTTTAAAGATAATAATTATTTGTTCTGGTGTGATATTTTATACGTTGACCAGTGCTACGGTAGCACCACTAGACAGGTAATTAATTATCTCAGACGTAAACAGGTGTTCGAGGGTTCTTAACAGGGCTGATTAGTATCTCGATTGGTCAGTGAGAGGTCGCTAACAAGTCTTAGATTATGTATTTCTGAAATATAAATAAATAATCTTTCCAAATATTGGACAAGTCTAATTATTGAGAGACAACGTATTGAAAAGTGTTAAATTTCTTCTTTTTTTTTTTGCAAAATAAGACGCAATATTACGATTCGGTATTATATAAATGAAAGGAGGTGTGGAGAAACAATGATCCAACGACACAATAATATCAAAAAGACATCTAGTCTAAGAGGTCAACAATAATCTAACTGTGTGCCTATTGTTGAAGGTGAAAATGTAATTATAAGATTTCATTTGTCGACCTATTGGGACCTGGCCTCGATTAAAATGGAAAGAAGGATAAAGTATATTAAGGGCATACGATACAGTTTTGATCCCATATTGAAATTTTGATGAAAATTTGCATATAGGCTATTTTTTACCTGATTAAATCAAATATGAAATAAACAATATACCATCATGTGCTACTTTTGAGTAAATTGAGGTTGAAATTTCAGATATTTCCTCAAAATTCGGATTTGCCGTATTTTTCCTTTCGACAGAAATACATAACTTTTTTGTTTAAAAAGATAAACACAAGCTATTTTTTGTTAAATTATTTGAAATTTCTTTTTTATATAAATGTTCTATAAATTTGTACATTTTATTTTTACAATTAACTCATATTTATCAAATGTTCATGAATGTAGAAAAATAACGTCATTTTTTGCTGTATATTTATGAAATTTAAAAAAATTGCACTATTGACTTATTCATGAAAATTGGTATACATAATCTTCATACGTAATCAAACCAAATGTCACTTTAAAAAAAGAGGGGTCCATGAACTCGTTTTCAAGTTAAATCAGTTTGAATGATAAAAATCAGTCGAAAACTGCATCTTTTCCCGATAAGTCACAGTTTGACGTCGCGAAAATAACAATTTACGTTAGCAACGTCATTACCTCCCCTGAAACTGTATCGTATGCCCTAAATGTTTGCGACAAATCCGTATTATGCACTTGACAAACCCAAAAGCAAAGGAACACTATTTCATCTATAGTCAGTTATGCCTTCAAATTGGACGGGGGGAAAGCATTATTATACCACACACATTGCAAGCACTGGTTATCTCCACCGTTTGGGCGAAATTTTTTGTTAGATGTCTCTGTGAATTCTGGTCGAATTCTTTATTTTTCCTTTAAAGGCAATATTATCAGAGTAACAAACTTCAATACTTTTCACGTTTGAAACTAGGGGTAAAATAAAAGAAGAATGTGTCTGAGGACGAATGCCCCCGCTGAAGCTTTGCAACGAAATGGGACGGACTGAAAGACGGAAGGACGGACGGTCAAGGGTAACACTTAATGCCCCCGTCGCCTACGTCGGGTGCATAAAGATTTGAATTACAGGGAATTCCTAACTTACATTTTCCTATATTAACAATGGGTCAGTACATCAGCTGTTGGACTTTCAGTACCCGAGGGTATCATTTGTAAAAAATCGAATGCTTCGACACTGGCATGATTTTTTTGGCAATTATTCTCTAAATTGAATGCAAGTTAACCAACACTAAGGTTGCAACTCTGATATGCTTTGGCCTTAGATGGTTACTTTTGTTCTGTTTATGTTCCTTCCGTTAATTATTCCCCAATCATTTTATATTGTTGGCTCTCCATTTAGTATCGAGCTTATGTGAGGAATGTTATTCAAGAAACATGTGTCTTGTGCGCTAAAATCATTATACCTTATTGTTGCATGTACAATAGTATATATATATATATATATATATATATACAACTCGTCTAAACATCAGCCCAACAATGTTAGATCTGTAAATTTGCCTTCGCAAATTTTTTGTTCTTCCCTCGCCGGGATTCGAACTCATGCTACTGAGATATCGTGGCACCAAATCGCCTGCACTGTATCCGACGCGCTAGACCACACGACCACCTAGGCTTCACAAAATAAAGCTTTCGGTGGCCGGGTGTTACCTTTCCGTCGTCAGTTTTAATCTAGCGTCGTAATACAGTACATGATATATAAGGCATGAAGATGTAACTGTTACAGATCAGCTGAAATATCTATTGTAAAGGATCCTACAAATTAATGCAAGATACACAGTCACAGAAATAATTATATTTATAAGTACGTCTGAACCAGTGACTACTCTACAACAGATTTATCCATCGGATCACCAGCAGTGATGGTGATACATGGCTGTGTACATTCTGTATATACAACTCGTCTAAACATCAGCCCAACAATGTTAGATCTGTAAATTTGCTTTCGCAAATTTTTTGTTCTATCCTCGCCGGGATTCGAACTCATGCTACTGAGTTTCGTGACACCAAATCGCCTGCACTGTATCCGACGCGCTAGACCACACGACCACCTAGGCTTCACAAAAATAAAGCTACGACACATCTATTTCATCATCGAAATGCATGGATGGGATAGATGTTTGGAACGAGCCAGCCGGTGGCAGACTCATTTATGTTGTAACCTCTTATATGGGATCAACAGTCTCGGTGTTAAAAAACGAGGGACGAGTGCAATAATCTCTAAGTTCAGAAGAAATTGATATGAACTATTTTAAAAGATGGTGACACAGAAGCATTCGAAATTATACAGTCCTTCAAATCGTATCACTGTAGTATTTGGTACTGATTTACAAGTGGATCATTCAAACGTAAAAACAAATGGAGTGACAACTATCAAAACATTTTATAACAGGTAAAATGACTAATGACCAATTATCAGTGACAATTATACTTGATACTCTTACAAAAAACATACGAGACTAAAGCATGATACATGTCATTTATTTTGAAAGAAAAAATAAATTATCTATAATTACATGCTACATTTAGAAACTTTTAATCTCACTTTGGTCATTCGACCCAATAATGTTTTCTCGATTTTCATTTTTTTTTCTTGGATCTAGCCAATGGTATAGAATTATGATATCCATAATGTGACTGGTCAAATTAAGATATCAATCAACGTTTGTATTTAACATTTGCGAACGATCCGTTTGCTATATTAGGTTTTGCTTTGTATCTTTTTTAAAAAAATCATATGATCGATTGAGATTAAAAGGATGAGGGTTGTCATTTAAAAAAAATTAGTTAAACCCCCTCGTGTAAATGGTTGTCTAATGTCATTTTAAAATAATTTTTGTTATTTTGAGAATTTGGTGTTGAAAGAATATCTTTGGTAGTTTCTGTTGTATAGACACATGTCTATTGATTGATTGGTTGTTGGTTGCTTAACGTCCAGTGGCAAATATTTCATGCATGTTCAGGACGATACACACGTCTATTGATGACGATTGTGTGTTGCCAACTTAGCGCCATCTTAGTGTCGTTGGCTGATTCTATCGTTGACCTTTACCCCTTTTGACTCATTAAAAATTCTTCACTTTTTTCTTCAAAAAATCTAAATTAGAAATATGTATTGATTTGACACCTTAGGTGTATACTGGTGGTATTTAGATTATTTTTTTCATTAGAAATCACGCTACCCATTTTATTGATGTTGAAATTTAAATGCAATGAATTTATCTAAGAATATCCGTTTGTCGACTGGGTGTGATGTATAACTTCACGTGCATGTCCGTTTGACCTTGTGGAATGGATAAATTGATGTTCACGTCCGTTAGGATGTACGGTAATATAAATAGACGTTCATGTCCGTTTGGCTGTGCGGGAAATATAGATACGCGTTCAAGTCTGTTTGCTGTGCGGGATGTATAAATACATCTTCATGTCCATTTGTCGGCTGTGCGGGATTTATAAATACACATTCACGTCTGGTAGTATTGGGTTCGTAAGCTCCAAGCTAAAGTGGAATTGGAAATAATTGTTTTTCAAGGAGTAGGATTGACGCACCCGAAAACATAATTCAACCGACCACTTTCATTCGGAATTGCGTGTGACAAATTATAACTGCGACGGTTACTCGTCAATACCTTCCGTGAAGCCGGATCGCTAGGAAAGCCCGCATCACATCAAAGCTATTATGAATGGTGCATAATCAAGTCCCGTTGAAGATACAATGTACAGAATCAGCATAAAGATACAACCATTTTACAGCGTTTTTTTCCTACGAAAATATAGTCACTATCACAATAAATACAAACGATATGTTATTGTCCTTTCAAACGAATAAAACCACATGTAATCTGTAAATAACCTTTGATTTCTGCTTAAAATATCAAATTATGCCTTTTACCCACCAACTAATATTGAGTAATTCAAACTGTATTCATCTCGTTTGAGTAAAAATTGATATCCTAATTAAAAATTCTTACTGGTAACACTCATTTTATTAAGGATAATTTATTAGCATAGTACTCTATTTTAATCTTCAAAAAGACTACAATGACTCGGAATTCCCTATAACAAAGCCAAAAGTAACTTCACTTTACCTATACTTGTATGATATTAATTACTTTTCTTTTAAATTCTACATTGTTATTCATTTTTTATTCCCTTTTAAATATATTTTACATCAAAGTAAGTGTTCGTTGTTAAATAATGACTCTTGTCACAAGTGGTTGCAAAGACGATTTAAAAAGTGTTTGTAAAATGTAAATAATGCTGCACTGCCGGCACCCAAGTACTATCAGTGTACGGGACAAGACAATGACAGCATATCTGGTTAATAAAATAAGAAATCATTCTTAAACTCGTAGGGAGCAGTATAGGAAAAATTGGTGGAAAACTACAAAAAGATGTTTGGGACTACCTTGTATTTGTTACTCAATTTAATTAAACAATCTGAACTAATAGGATTTGACATTCGTCTTGAAAACATAGGGTGCGGTGTAGAAAATGGGAGGAGACCTGCAAACGATGTTTGTGTTAAATTATATACATTGTAATGTGTGGATAATAAGAAAATTTAAAGGGAGGTACGTGATACGTTGTACAAACAACAATACAATCATAGTGTGCGTGTGTTACAACGAATTCACATTAATTATTTTGTCTTCAGAAAAAGTATTTGTAATTTATCTCCTCTCGACCTATTGACCCCGCTAGAGTAAACTTAAAAAGAATCTACCGTCTAATCTCTTATTTATTCGTATCTGATTAGTTTTCCCATACACGACTGACGTTAATTCAAATTTTACAAATGTTTTACTTAAGTTAATATTTTCTTATGATAACTCGAAAATTCCTGTTTAACTATGATATATTCTAGTTAACGTGGTAGAAAGTTGTTAATTGGTGTTATAGAGTATACCGGGTTAGCATGGCCTTTTGTAATTGTCGTGACGCCAAACGTTGAATGGTCATTCTGATCAACTCTCGTGGTGGACGTAATTAAATTTGTTTAGTAGGATACATAGAAGTGTTTTAGAGATGTTTAAACAAACTTAGGTACTCCAAATGGATTAACATTCCCTTAACCATGTAAACATAAAGAATGAAATAAAAGTAATGTTTAATAGACAGAAATGTGATAATTACAAGCAAATTATGGTGATATTTCCACGCGGATAAAAATTCAAAAAATGTGGAGAAATTTTCTGTCCAGTCTCTTTCTAGGTGAGTATGTGTTTCTTAGAAGTAATATATTGTAGTGTCTTAACATATCTAAGTTATCATACCATCATAAATCAGTTAAGCAATTAAAAATTATCATAAATTATTATATTTTTCTTTGCTCTGTTATTTTTTGTTTGTTTAAAGATTCCTTAATTAAATACCTACATTTAATTCGAAACAGAAATATATTGGTCAAAGCGATTTCTAATTTCAAGCATTGTTTATCTATATAAAAAGATATTTAAGTAAAAATATGATATATAAGTAAAATGAAAGTATTTATGGTGGGATTAAAGTGTCATAAAGTGACGGTAACGGAGGGTCAACAATTTAGATACAAGAGATTAATTGCCAGTAATTTACAGGTGATAAATTACTCTATATTGAAGTCTGTCCAGATAGCAACGTTTACCTGAGATGGCAGCCTTTTTTTAATTTGTCACGTTAATAAAATTTATTACTTTTACAAGTGCAAGTTTTATTGATACAAGAACGGTTTTGAAATTAATAAATGCTTTTATAATTGCTGATTTCACTCGTAAGAAAATTTCGTTCAGTTTGATTTGAGGAATTTCAGTCAAGTAGCGTATCATGACTGAATCAAGTCTGTGTTTTGAAATTATAGAACTCATTTAGATCTGTTTTCCACAATTAAAAATACAGTTATCGGACGTATATATGACTTTACAAGTAACGCTATTAAGTCAGTTTAACAGTTATTGTTGCAATTATTACCGTGAAAAATTATTCAGTTGGTTAGGTTCATCGAAAAATAAAATTAAATTTTATAATTTCTGATTTCACCCGTAAGAAAATTACGTTCAGTGTGATTTGAGGAATTTCAGTCAAGTAGCGTATCATGACTGAATCAAGTCTGTGTTTTGAAATTATAGAACTTATTTAGATCTGTTTTCCACAATTAAAAATACAGTTATCGGACATATATATGACTTTACAAGTAACGCTATTAAGTCAGTTTAACATTTATTGTTGCAATTATTACCGTGAAAAATTATTCAGTTAGTTAGCTTCATCGAAAAATAAAATAAAAGCAAAAATCTAAAGCCATGAAACGAATACAGAACATTAAAATACTGGTCTCCCAAAAGCCTGCACGGTCGTGAAAAGTTTTAACTGAATCAATTGATGTGTATATACCACAAATCCCTTTATCCTAATATAATGGCCAAGTTTGCATAAATGTTATTTTAGGTAGTTTGTCGAGAATTTGATAAACGAAGTAGCTAGATTTTGAAGGATGACAAATTTATCTCATTTTGAACAGACAGTTTATTTATTCTACGTATAGATAAGAAAACTTGTTGATACTTTGTTAACAGATAAAATCATCTTTCTTGTCAAATTATTGAACTGGACCTCCGGAGTTTTACCTTTTTCTTACAATGTAATATTATTTAATTTTGTCATTTATTATTCACCAGGTCAAAGGATATCTTTAAAAAAAATCAATTTAAATATAAATAAAAAGGACAAGCATCATGACTTAAGTAAGGAAGTAAGCAATAAAGTAAGTAAGCAAGTATGAAAGTATATCAATTTCATTAAGAGTCAGTACATATATATATTATATATATAGTGCCTAGAAAATCAACCTAACAATGTTAGAGTAGATCTGATTCTTTACTTCCTCCCCGATCTTCTTCCCTCGCCGGGATTCGAACTCATGCTATTGGGATATCGGGACAACACCGCCTGCACTGTCTCCAGCGCTCTAGATCACTCGGCCACCTAGACCGAACTAAAAATTCAGCTTTCGGTGTTACCTTTCCTCGTCAGTAGAATCTAAATTTGTAACACAGTACATGATATATTAGGAATGAAAATGGAATAGAATGCAGATTAGCTAAATTATATATCGTAAAGGATCGTAAGATACAGTCACAGAAATAATTATTTTGATAAGTACGTCTAAACAAGTGACAACTCTACGACAGATCCATCGATTGGATCACCAGTGAAGGTGATACACGGCTGAAAACACATATTATATTCATAATTACTCTAAATATCAGCACAACAATGTTAACTCTGCAAATTTGCGGAAGCAAATTTTTGTTCTTCCCTCATCGGGATTCGAACTCATGCTATTGGGATATCGAGACAACACCGCCTGTACTGTATCCAGCGCTCTAGACAACTCGGCCAACTAGACTGAACTAAAAATTCTGCTTTCGGTGGCCAAGTGTTACCTTTCCTCGTCAGTGCAGGCGGTGTTGTCTCGATATCCCATTAGCATGAGTCCCGGCAAGGGAAAAACAAAAATTTGCTTCCGCAAATTTGCATTTTATCTTACCGTTTCGATTCCTAACACCACTGAAGAGACATTAATTGTCGAAATCCGGATATGGTGTACATTTTTTTTGCACCTCATGTTTGCGGTATACCATCTTTTCCGCAAGTTTATTGTTTTCTGTTTGGTAATAGATTAACTATAAGATCCATTTTGTTACATCTCAGGCGTGATCCGTTTATTTGGCAATCGCCAATGGCAGTCAGCAGGGTTTAAGAACATCAGTTGTTCGACCTGCTAGTCAAATGCGTTTTGTTAAAATATACTTTTTCACTTTTTTGGTCTTTTGGAAAATGTTGTTTGTGCTGTATTTAGACCCCTCTACCAAGAAATTTGTTTTGCATGCACACGTATAAAAATTGCGGTTTATATCCAACGCAATCATAGGTTTGAACGTTGTTTTCAATTTAGGCTTGTTTATATTTTTTCGTTTGGGCTTGTAATATATTTGCCTTCGGGTTTATATGATCCGTTCATCCTATTTTGACTCTTTCAAAATTCAAGAGTCTATCCTAAATTGAGGTAAATTATATGGCCTTCCAAATACCGTTTCGATTCCTAACATCACTGAAGAGACATTAATTGTCGAAATCCGGATATGGTGTACAAATTTTTGCACCTCATGTTTGCGGTGTATCATCTTTTCCGCAAGTTTATTGTTTTCTGTTTGGTAATAAATTAATAATAAGATCTATTTTGTAACATCTTGTGATCCGTTTATTTGGCAATCGCCAATGGCAGTCAGCAGGGTTTAAGAACATCAGTTGTTCGACCTGCTAGTCAAATGCGTTTTGTTAAAATATATTTTTTCACTCATTTGGTCTTTTGGAAAATGTTGTTTGTGCTGTATTTAGACCCCTCTACCAAGAAATTTGTTTTGCATGCACACGTATAAAAATGGCGGTTTTTATCCAACGCAATCATAGGTTTGAACGTTGTTTTCAATTTAGACTTGTTTATATTTTTTCGTTTGGGCTTGTATTATATTTGCCTTCGGGTTTATATGATCCGTTCATCCTATTTTGACTCTTTCAAAATTCAAGAGTCTATCCTAAATTGAGATAAATTATATGGCCTTCCAAATACCGTTTCGATTCCTAACATCACTGAAGAGACATTAATTGTCGAAATCCGGATATGGTGTACAAATTTTTGCACCTCATGTTTGCGGTATACCATCTTTTCCGCAAGTTTATTGTTTTCTGTTTGGTAATAAATTAATGTTAAGATCTATTTTGTAACATCTTGTGATCCGTTTATTTGGCAATCGCCAATGGCAGTCAGCAGGGTTTAAGAACATCAGTTGTTCGACCTGCTAGTCAAATGCGTTTTGTTAAAATATATTTTTTACTCATTTTGTCTTTTGGAAAATGTTGTTTGTGCTGTATTTAGACCCCTCTACCAAGAAATGTGTTTTGCATGCACACGTATAAAAATGGCGGTTTTTATCCAACGCAATCATAGGTTTGAACGTTGTTTATAATTTAGACTTGTATGTATTTTTTCGTTTGGGCTTGTATTATATTTGCCTTCGGGTTTATATGATCCGTTCATCCTATTTTGACTCTTTTAAAATTCAAGAGTCTATCCTAAATTGAGATAAATTATATGGCCTTCCAAATACTGTTTCGATTCCTAACATCACTGAAGAGACATTAATTGTCGAAATCCGGATATGGTGTACAAATTTTTGCACCTCATGTTTGCGGTATACCATCTTTTCCGCAAGTTTATTGTTTTCTGTTTGGTAATAAATTAATGTTAAGATCTATTTTGTAACATCTTGTGATCCGTTTATTTGGCAATCGCCAATGGCAGTAAGCAGGGTTTAAGAACATCAGTTGTTCGACCTGCTAGTCAAGTGCGTTTTGTTAAAATATATTTTTTCACTCATTTTGTCTTTTGGAAAATGTTGTTTGTGCTGTATTTAGACCCCTCTACCAAGAAATTTGTTTTGCATGCACACGTATAAAAATGGCGGTTTTTATCCAACGCAATCATAAGTTTGAACGTTGTTTTCAATTTAGACTTGTTTGTATTTTTTCGTTTGGGCTTGTATTATATTTGCCTTCGGGTTTATATGATCCGTTCATCCTATTTTGACTCTTTCAAAATTCAAGAGTCTATCCTAAATTGAGATAAATTATATGGCCTTCCAAATACCGTTTCGATTCCTAACATCACTGAAGAGACATTAATTGTCGAAATCCGGATATGGTGTACAAATTTTTGCACCTCATGTTTGCGGTATACCATCTTTTCCGCAAGTTTATTGTTTTCTGTTTGGTAATAAATTAATGTTAAGATCTATTTTGTAACATCTTGTGATCCGTTTATTTGGCAATCGCCAATGGCAGTCAGCAGGGTTTAAGAACATCAGTTGTTCGACCTGCTAGTCAAATGCGTTTTGTTAAAATATATTTTTTCACTCATTTTGTCTTTTGGAAAATGTTGTTTGTGCTGTATTTAGACCCCTCTACCAAGAAATTTGTTTTGCATGCACACGTATAAAAATGGCGGTTTTTATCCAACGCAATCACAGGTTTGAACGTTGTTTTCAATTTAGACTTGTATATATATATATATATATACAGTAAATAATAAAACTCCTTACAACCGACTATAACATATATACAGATCATCACTGTAAGCAAAGATTCAGCTAAGACAAGCGCACATATAAATATTA